AGGAAGCTGATGCTGAAGTCAAGAATCCTTGGGGCAATTTTCCTTACATGGATCTACAAAGGTCTGGTTTTCAGAGCAGGGGAGGAAACCCCACAGCCTAAAGCAGCAGCTCCAAACCTTTTGTACATAAACACAGCTCAGAAACTCGTTCCGTGTCTCTGCCTCCCCACAAAACACTCATGGTTGTGTTTGAATTTCCTTTGCTGCTCCTTTTTTCACTCCCTCTCCAAATTAAACCAGGAATTGTCCTCCTCAATGTATCCATGCTCGGGGCAGCTCTGCATTTCCTCCCTGTTTTCAGTGTGTGCATGTGCTTAACTGCAGTTACTTTATCGAGGAATAACAGTTAAAACCCACCAGTTTCAGTGGGGTTTACCCCAATCTGTAGCAAAAGCCTGACCTTCCCGTTAGAGATGGCTCTGCTTTGCATGCAAGAAACGTTCCCAGAATGCTGAGTTACCCTCTGGCACGTTTACCTCTCCACGGGCATCATCAAAGCACAAGCTATCACTGCTGTACCATCTAGCACGGCTCCTCCTAATGATAATATTTTTCTCATCTTAAAACAGCTCGAACAACCATGACTAAGTACCCAGCAGGTCAGTTGGGAATAATCAGGTTTCTGCCTGTTTCACACAGAGCCAGGCCTGTAAGGCATCCCCGGGTCTCTGCGTCACACGCCCGGGCTTTGGGGGGGAATTGCCATTAATGGCTAAGAATGTGCCTTGGCTTTTCTCTTAATCTCTTATCACAAGATTAGCTAATGTCTGCAAAGCCCAGGAGGATTGGGTAATGATAAGGGATCATCAGGAGAGATGGAAAGATAAGTATTGTTCTCTAAGAAACCGTCAGGGTTCCTTCCAAGGAGATAATTATCTCCTGCTCTCTGCAAGGGCTCTGCTCACACAGGCCCCCGGCCCACAGGCCCCTGGAGCTCCTGCTGACGTCCTCCCAGGGGGAATTGGTGCCTGGATCTCCTCATTTGGTGTGAGTGGGTGTAATCCTGGGCCATCGGAGCTTGCACAGCCCCTGCAGCCTCTGGCTCCACAGTCACAGAATCCCAGAATATGCTGAGCTGGAAGGGACTGACAAGGATCATCCAGTCCAGCCCTTAGCCCTGCACAGCACCATCCCCAAGAGTCACAGCATGAGCCTGAGAGCACCATCCAAATGCTCCTTGAGCTCTGTCAGGCATGGTGCTGTGCCCACTGTCCTGGGGAGCCTGTTCAGTGCCCAGACACCCTCCAGGGGAACAACCTTTTCCTAATATCCAACCTACACCTCCCCTGACACAACTTCAGGTCCTGTCACTGGTCCCCACTGGTCCCTCCTCTCCCAAGAACCACAGGGGGTTGGAGACCACCCTCCTTGCGTGGAGGATACTTGGCATCATCAGCCCCAGAGTAAAGGTGGATGTTCCACTCCCCTTTTCTTTTTCCCTGCTCCACAAAGGGCTGGAAGAGCAGCGCAAAGACCCTTCTGGTTGTCTGTGTCTCAGCACACAGAGCTGGGCAGTCACAGGCAATGGAGCTGCTGAGACATTCCTTTCTATCAGCTGCTCATAACCTGTCTCAGCTGAGCCAGTCACCCACAGTGTGTGCACATTCCCAGCTGTTCCAGTGGAAAACGAGACTGATTCCTCTAATCTGCCTCTCCCCACGACTACAGCTCAGGGCTCCCCGGGGCAATTATTTCTTCTGAGCTGATGTTTTGGTGAACAATCACTCACACCCCGCAAAGCAAGTGTCAGGGCTCCAGCAGAGCAGGAAGGGCAGGAGCAGCCATCCTAAAACAGCTGGAACTGAGGAACTGGCAACGGGTTCAATGTTTACTCCGCATTTTGGTGGTTGTGGCACAAGCCACAAAGGAGAGAGGTTGGAAAGGCACTAACTCCCAAACCACAGTGTCTTCAGGGTAGTGTTAGATCTGGACTGAGGACTCCAGCACACAGGGGGATGGAGGCCAGTCCTGATCCCCACTTAGACCCTGGTTCTCCTTCCTCCTGCACTCCCTGCTGTTCCAAGCACAGTTACCTTGGATTTGCTCTTTAGAGGCTCTGTGCTGCTGACTACCCAGTTCATTATCTCCTTGTAATTGTTTTGTCTTCTCTGATCTTTTGTTCACCTGTGAGGAGTGTACAATCAGTTTTGCTCTCCTCTGACATGAGTTACATGCCTTTTGAACCCTGGCTGATTAAAGTCTCTTCCTTCTTCAAGTAAATTGGTTCCCATAGAGCTGTCCACTAGTGTGACTCCATTCACTGTCTGAATTACACCTTCCCAGCTGACAGATGGATTGCTCGAGGGGTTTGTGGTCATTGTGCCAACCTCAGAAGTTTGGGGATGATTATACTCCCAGCCTGGTCAGCTTGCTTTTGTTGTTCCTCGGATGTTTCTTTTTCCACTCTAAATATTAGTGACAAATGTCCAGCCTCCAGCCTGACTGTTCTCATCCCTCTGGAGCCCCAGCTGTGAGGGAATAATACTGTTACCTGTGAGTTTAGTTGCACTTTTGGGACCCCCTCCTGGCTGCTATTACTCATTGTAAGGACCTGCTCCCAACCTTCACTGCATTTCAGTGAGGAATGGAAGCCTGAAAAGGAGCTGGAGCCTTCTAGGCCCTGCAGTATTGCTTCTGATAGTCTTTAATTTGTACATAAATGTACAGAGATTGGCACAACACAAAGAGGATTTGAAGGATTAAGCTTGAGAGGCTGTGCCAAAAAAAGAGGAAGATGAGTACAGATGATGTGAGGCCACCCCAGAGTCATACCTGTGTTCTGTGCAGCCTGGAAGCCCCTGTCTGGTACCCTCTGCAAGGGCTGGGGATGACAGTTGTTTTCTGCACAGCTCAGCCAGGGGGGATTAAATTCTGCATTGTTGTTTTCAGAGCTTTCTGCAGCCTCTGCCTGGCAGGCAAAAATACTTGGGAATTTGGCCAGTAACCGTGGTAATTGGCCAGTATGTCAGGTATTTATTTGAATGTCAATTCAAACAGAAATCAATAAAAATAGTAATCCTTAGCATGAAACTGAATAATGAAGCAGTGGTAGAATTAGAATTTTTTAGCAGAAAGAAATACTTTTTTTATTACTTAAAACAAGCTTAAATTAACAGCTGCAGATAATGATTCCCCAGAGCTAGATAAGGGGTTAAGGATCGTTGCTCTCAGTGATGACAGGCTGCTCACTAAATCTGGTGAGTTATGTTTCAAGGCTGAGGTTTTATAGCTCAGATATATTGTCTCAAAGTGAGTGAGACTTGGTTGACTGGCAAGCCAAATGACTCACAAATTGACCTGAAGAATAACTTTCACCCACCCCACCACCCCCCAAGCCTCCACTGGGTAAATGATGTTTGGAAACCACCAGCTATGTGACAAATTGCAAGATTCATCTTATTTGAAGAAGTGGAAAAGATGAGTGTCATCTGGAGACAAAGGGTCTTGTGTGCCAGGATTTTGGCAGGGGAGCCAAAATGTCATTTCAAAGGCTGATGTCATTTCAAAGGCTGCTGTTGCTCGTTGTGGCTTTGGGAAGTGAGGAGGGCTGACACCTACTTTGGAAAGACAGGTCTGGAGCACGTGGTATCACGCAACAAAGTCCCTGATGACAAGAACAGGCTCAGGGTGTCCCTGCTCCTTCCTGATCCACTTCATCCCCAAGGGCACACTGGGCACTGCACTGACTGTGTGTGTAAATAAACTGGATTGTGGAACTAAAAAAGTTTGCTTTCCTTTTCAGCTGATCCACTTTCCCAGTCCATTCTCAGCCTGGATGGGTCAGCACAGAGCAGGGGCTGTGCAGGGTAACACAGGGACAGGGATGGAGGGAACAACGGGCTGGAAGGTTTCATCCAACAAAGCCACAGCCCTGCTGTCTCATTGCCTTGAACTCGGCTGAACACTCATCAGACCAGTGGGTTCCTTCCAGTGGGTTCAGTGCTAATGGATTAGACGTGCACTTAGATTAGAAGCTGGATTTCAGTGCAGTTGTGCCTCACTCGCAGCTCTGTGAGGCAAGATGAGAGTCAGCTTGGGATGAAAAACTAAAAATATCAAAGAACTCTGGCAAACTGAGGATGGCCTGTTATTGCAAACTTTCATGGAGACATTTAAACCAGCACTGGGTGCCTGTGGCCAGCCCAGTACAGGTGCCAGAGTCCAGCTGCAGGGCATCAGAAAATCATAGAATCATTTAGAATCATTTAGAATCAGTCATGTTTTCATCCAGATGTCACTGAGGGAAAGTTTCTTTCATGTTTCTGTCACATTTAATGGCGTCTGAGCTTAAAATAAACCCACTAAAGGCTCAGCTTCACCTGGGATTGCAGCTCCTCTGTAATCATTTGCACTGGTAAGAGTGGTGTAATTCACATTTCATTTATGCCCACACCACAGCACAGGCAGCAGCAAGGGAATGTGGCCTCTTTTCTCACTGGAACCTCTAAGAACCTCTAAGGTGTCCAGCTCCAAGTATAATTTGGACACTTGTTGCAGGGTTTTGTGAGTCTTGTTTGCCTCTGCTAAGAAGAACAAAAAGCAGCTCTTAACTCAAGCTAAAATAGCAGTGAAAACAAAGCAATTTGCATTGAAACCCCCATTTGGAGTGGTAATTAAAGCAGCCTGGTTTGCTGTGCACCTGGGGCTGAGGTGCCCCAAGCAGACCACGTGTGCACAGCCACAGAAATGAGCTGGGACACCCAGCCTGGGATTTCTGGTGGTTCCCTACTCTCACCCATGTCCAGAGGCTGCCCACTGTATCTTATCTCCCTTGGAAGTATCGGTGAGGGAATGTTGTGAGGGAATTTGTTAGTATTTACTGGGGTCTGTCTCCCTGTAAACACAGCCCTGGTGATGCTGTTAGACATAAACTGGGTAAATCCAGTGCAGACAAGGATATATCGGAGAAACACAGACTAAAGCCTGTCAGATTTATTTTTATTTATGCCTGTTTCTACACACATAAAGCAGCTCTGCAAGACTTTGAAGGAGCCAGGAGATTCATGCTGTACTCCCCCATCCCCTCAGGAGCTGCATGCAAAGCTACACACTGGGCTTTGACAGCAAGGATTGAGCCCACAGCCTCAGGTTAAAGCTAAATTATTTGAGCAAGAGAAACAATACACAGACTGTGAAAAACAGCTTAAAGCCACTCATATCTGAAATACAGAAAGCTTGAGCCAGCACTCACTGAAGCCAGGGGTGTTCAGTGGGTTTGGCTGCCAGGAGATGGCCAGTTCCCACCTCTGAACTCTGCAGCTACCCAGGGAAAAGGGGCTGCTCCACACACAAGTGTGTAAGACCCATCTGTGGTTGTGTGTCTGAAGCAGAGCTCTCACTCCATTACATTTCCAGGACCAAACTATCCTCATCCTGCTTCCTTCCCTGCTTCAGCATGTGGGACTTCAGCAGGTGGCTGTTCCAACAGGATTTTCATCGTGTGCACGAGTAACTCCATTTCAATGAAAGGCTACCAGAGTTGTTCCCTGTCCATCAGTCCAACAGTGGTGACTTCTTGGTGAGATACAGAACTATTTCTGTCTTATCAGCTTGGAGCAAACCACTCAGGAGTTGTTGTTTCTCAGTCAGGTCTGAGTGGGGACGTAGCAGAGTGAGCCTCTCCTGGCAGTCTGGGGTGCTTTCCTGATCCATCTGGAGCTTGTGCTGGGTTTTCCAGGCCTAGGGCTGCAAATATTTGGGGCAAGAATAAAGACTCTCTTTCTCAGCAAACATAATCCTGTGCTATCTGACTGAAAACCTCTCCCTCTTGGTTTCTGCTTCTTTCTCTTTTGAGTTATCCAAGAGAGGACCAGTGGATCCCAGATTCTCTGCAGGCACCTGATGAAGCTGAGCCATCAGCTCTGGCTGCCCTGGCCCAGACCCCCCTGTATCCATGAGGTGGGATGTGGAGGAGCCAGGGGGTGCTGGGTGAGCAGGCACAGTGCCAAGGGAAGCTCTGGGAGCACAAGCACAACGTCTCTGCTCTCTGGCTGGCACCCACGTTGCCTCTCCCTCGAATCCCGTGGCTAATGCTTCCTTAATTTGCTCATCAGTAAAGTCCTTGACATCCATCCACTGAATTATGGTCTAATTGTGTGAGCTTCCCTGATAATGCCCTTCAATGACATCAGGCTTAGTAGAAAATGTTGATTTCTTGGTTGCCTGTATTTGTGCAAATGATGCTCCGTAGCCAGGGGACACTGGCTGTGGCTTTGGGAAGGAGGATTATAGCAGCTGGCACTTCAGAACCTGAGTGAACACAAACAGGCCATGGACAGAGGTGGGAAATTGAGGCAGGGGACAGATGAAGTTAATGTTGAGTACTGGGGACACTGATTATTTGGGAAGAGGGCTCAAGTCCCTGGATCTGCAGAGGTTCAGAGCAGCCCCACATCAAATGAAGTTTTCCCCATCCCTGGAAGTGTTTGCCCAGGCCCTGGAAGTGTCTGCCCAGACTCTGGAAATGTCCAAGGCCAGGCTGGATGGAGCTTTGAGCAACCTGGTCTAGTGGAAGGTGTCCCTGCCCGTGGCAGAGGGATTGGAACGAGATGATATTTAAGGTCCCTTTCACCCCAAGCCATTCTGGGATTCTCTGACAGGTTCTGCCTCCCACCCTGTGCCAGCAGGATTACAAATCCTGAGGCTTTGGGGAGGCATCACTCTGGGGACACATGGGGGAAAGATCTGTGGCAAAGACTCTTGTTCTGGGCATTTTTCTGCTCCTGCTTCAGGTCAGGGACCTGCAGACAGCTCAGGAAAGCTGTGTCTGTGCCTCTGGGGCTGCACTGCTGTTGTCATGTCTGACACTAATGGAGAGGACGTGTTTCTCCACCAGAAATTTACTGTCAGCCAAGTGATTTCCCCTTTCCTGGTAGTTCCAGTTCCCCTGTGGTTAAGTGAGGACTTTGGAGGTTAAAGTCTGCCAGGTCTGGATCAAGGTCAGCAAACCTGCCTTTGATTCTAAAGGTTTTAATTAACTTCGCACCACATAGAACCTGGGCATGCTTGAAAGAGAAATATAGATAAATTTTACATTTAAATATTTGAATAGTGCCTATATATTATGGTGGCTGTAAGAAAGCCCTGTTCAGGCCGGCTGCAGGAAGAGAGGAGATTTGCATAGCAGAATAATGGGTTTTGCAAATAAATCTGGTTCTTGAAATTTGTAGATTAGCAATAATATGTCTCCAGATGAGAAGGAAAGGTCATGGATGAATAAAGCAACAATTAAACTTTCAGGAGATTATTAAACTAAACACAAACCTGGCTAAATGCGTATGAGAGAATGTCAATAAAGGACAGGAGTGGCCTGTCAGGACTTGTGAGCCTCCAGGATATTAATGTTACCTGGAGATCTTTTCTTCCCATTCAGCTGCTCTTCTTGAAGTAACAGCCTTTGCAGATTCCTCCCTAATCTGGACAATCCATTAAATAACCCAGTTAATTTAAGCCATTTAAATCCAATAAGGCTGGTGTGTAATGCTATAAAACTCTAAACAAAATCCTTGGAGAATTACCACGTTAACTGTTGTGCTGCAGGCTCCATCCATGCCTGATGCTGGTGAGTAGGTGCCTTGTAGGGAGACAAGGAGGTCTCAGCACAGCAGAGGGAATACTGAGGTTGTGGAGAGGTGGGTTTTACTCTGAATCTGGGAAAAAAAAAACCAAAAAAACTAAAAGATAGTATTTTCCAAATGGGCCACGAAATAGAACTTTTATGACAGCGAGAATGAAAGTTGGGGGAAATTCTCATTTCAAAGTATTGAAAAGTTGTGTCCAGAAAACTCAACTTTTGTGGGGGGGGGCTTTCAGAAAGATCCTAAAATCAAACGTTCCTGAAATAAAAAACTTGTCCTTTCAGGGGATTTTTTGCAAAGAAAATTTAAAAAAAAAAAAAAAAAACCACCCCTTTCTTTGGAAAAACAATTTAGAAGTCCCAGGGACTTTCTGAGGAGAATATCCCATCTTCTCCTTTTCTCCTGCACCCCTGCAAACAGGAAGCACAGGAGGCACAGGGCTGACCATGCTCCAGACAGTGGCTATAACCTGTGCATCCACTCCTGGGCCTCCTCCCACAGCTGGATCTGGAGGAATGGAGCTGCACATGGACCTTCTCCTGCCTTGGAGCTTCACAGAGATCAAAGTTCCTGATGCTCAGCACGGCTCCTGCTGTGTGCCCAGGAGGAATCAGGAGTGTTCTCAAGCCCAGTGCATTAAAGAGGAAGCCTCTGGCAGGAGGTGGTACCCAGCTTGTTACCTGCCCTCACCTGCCAGGGGACCACTGTGTGGGCATGTTCCCATCCACGAAGGAAAAGGGTCAGAGAAAAGGCAAGTTTTCAATGTTTGTTTCTTCCCCTTCTCTCCTGAATCTCAGGAGTTAAGAATTAGGTGGGAAAATGAGAGTCCCAGCGAATTTCAGTGGACCAAGGCTCAGCCCTAACGAAGCTTTCCCTAGTTGGTGCCCCTGGGGTCAGTGAAACTGCCTCTTCCAAGCATATTTTGCCTCTAAATGTCAGCCCTGAATGACCCCAAACTGTGAAATGTCTGCCTGTTGCCTGGTTTCCAAGCAGCTCACTGCCCTCCCTTCTCTCACCCAGACACAGAGCTAAAAATCCAACACACACGGGGAGTCCTTCACCCAGAAACGGAGCCCAGACATGAAACAACCCTGCCAAAACAAAAACAACCTTCCCCATACCTCATTTCCCCTTTGGGGATCGTAGAGGAGCCACATATGAGAGACATGAGTCATATTGCCTGGTGCAGGTCTAGGAGATGCTCAGATATTACCTGAGCAGGGCAGGGAAGGAATGAGATGGAGCAATAACTCTCTGTGATGCAGCACTTCTCTTTGTGAGCTCCGAGGGCATTTTACAAAGGAACACAGTGTCAGGATCCTTGTTTTAAGAGGGGCACTGAGAGGAAGCATAAATTCTCCAAGGCCACACAGCCTCCAGTGTCAGAGCAAGGGTGAGAGAGCCTGGGCTACCCAGCCTTGCACTGTGCCTGGGGCCACGCTGCCCCAGTCAGGCTCTTGACATTGGCCTTACTGCCTGAGCCAAGGGCTGCAAACCCACAGGCTCAGCCTGCAAAAACCAGGATTTCTCTTCCTTAATTAAGCTCTCTGTGGATCAGCAGGGAATGCCTCCCCCTGCTCCTCAGGACAGGAGCGTGGCCACGTCCAGGCTTGTTCGGGGCAATTCATTCCTTGAAATGATTCATTTGTGTGTAAAATCATATTAGCCTTTATTGGCTGTCTGCACAGACCCTCCCAGCACACACAGATCTAAACCTTGAAGTGCCATTAATCTTTGGTCAGCTCTGCCCCCTCTTTCGGGTGGTACTTTGGGGCTGGTGACCTTCAGCAGAGGATTTTTGTTCTCCTCTTTCCCCAGGAGCCCTGGCAGCACCTGCAGCAGCTGGAGTGGGAAGGGAAAGGGGGGGTCAAGGCACTTTCATGTCTATTGACAGCTGAACACTGAGCTGCTTTTCCCCGTGCAGGAGATAATTGCTGAGAAAAGGCCAAGTCCTGGCACAGTGGGGAGGGTCAGGCCAATTCCTGCTGGAGTTGTTGTCTGAGCAAGCTGAGGCAGCCTGTGATGGTTGTGTTTGTTTGGTGCCTGGCACGGGGGGGGACAACACTGCCCACAGATCGAGGGCGCTGTAAGGGGTGAAAAGATGATGATAATGTGAGGCTGAGAGCAACTGGAAACTCAGACCTAATTCCACTGCAGATTTATGACCTGAGGCCCAGGTATTGATACAAACCAAGCCAAATTCAGGTGTGTCAATAAATGGGCACATTCATGTTAGGGAGCACTGGACCTGTGAAAAAGACACTGGCACAAGCCATGCTTCTCCCAGGGTTAAAGATGCTTTTTGGAGATTGGTGGGGCCATAATCACCTCACCTGATGAGCAGTCTTCCCTGGCAGCTCTGGAGACAGCAGGGTTCTAGGGGAGAGGCAACTCAGGAGGGAAATCCAAACCAGAACTTGAAGCATGTTGTCCACCTGTGTTAAGGGAAAGCCTGGTGCAAGGCTCTCTTGGCTCAGTCCCTTCTGGGGTGGCATCTCTGGTGTGTAGTGAGGGTTGAGCTGACATTTTAGATATTCTCCTCATTACAGTGTCTGCCAACCCCAATCAAATATGTAGTTTTACCATTTCTCTTGGGATTTAGCTTTTTTGAGACCTCTGCCTCTGTCAGATTAGACTTGAATTGGCCAGTGAGTTCAGAATCTCTCAAGCACATGGTGTGACTTTTGGGGTGTCCTGTACAGGGCCAGGAGCTGGACTCAATGATCCTTGTGGATCCCCTTCCAACTCATCATATTCTGAGATTCTGTGAATTCCAGAGGGATAAGGAAAAAGGTAAAGGATATAAATGCACACACGTGTGTGTGCACACACACTGATCACTTAAACCTGGCTTTGATAGACCAGGCTGAAATTAAATCTATTTGGCAATTTGTTGGCCGTCCTGAGAACAGGTGACGAGTTGGAAACTTGCTGCTTTAGGAAGGAGGAAAGTTGTGATGCTGCTGCTGCTCATGTCAAACCTCATCACATCCCCTCCTCCTTGTGCTGGCACGAGAGCAACACAGGACACTCCTGGGCTGTGCTGTCTGCAGACATGTCCTGCTCCCCATTCCTGCCCTCATCGATCATGTCCCTGTGGGCCTGACTCAGGTTTCCTGCGTCACATGGAACCTTTGCAGATGCCAGAGCCGTGGCACTGTTTACAGAGAGGAGCAGGCTGTCTGCCTGAATTAATTCAAGCCCTTGCAGCTCTCTGTTGCACTCAGGCAGGATTGATCTTTACAGGGGGGGTGCCGTGGGAGGCAGAAATAGATGCTGGAGTGTCTTATCATTTTCACCTGAGGAAAGCACGAGCCACGCTCAGAAATCAGCAGAGCTGACACTGTCACCAAGCTGACACTGCCATGGCCAAGAACAGTCACTGGCCTCCGTATTAAAGACACTTCTGAAGGAGACACTGTGGTCTTTTAGGCAGAGAGGAGAGATTGAAGGGGATTATTCTGCACATGGGGGAAAATGTTTCTCTAATAACTCACTTTCTGAGCTTTTACAGTGGATGTGGAGGCAGAAATCTCCATCCTGCCCGAAGAGTTCCTGGAGGAACAATCCCATGAATCAAAAAAGGTCTTTATCTGTTTCCCCCTTTTCTTAACCTATATCAGATCTGGGGCCTTTCAGCTTTATTATCACTTGCCACTGCCTGTCAGGCTTCAGAAGTTGAAGAGAAAAGGGTTTTGTTTTCCCCCCCTCAGTCTTTGGGTGAGAGCCATCACAAAGCAAACAAGGCAGAGTTGGGGACACAGAAGGTGCCAACACTTGCTTGGTGTGCACTGAAGCAGTGGTCAGGCATGAAGCAGGGCATGTGAAGGAGGGAATGTAGTGCTGAAGGTCCTCCTTTCCTGGTCCCTAAAGAACACTTGGGGTCACAGTCGAGGGAGGGGATTGTCCCGCCCTGCTCTGACCTGGGGTGGCCTCACCTCGAGTCCTGGGGGCAGTTTGGGCACAACAATATCAGAAGGATCTAAAACTGTTGGAGAGTGTCCAAAGGAGGGACACAGAGCTGGGGAAGGGTCTGAGGAGCAGCTGAAGGCACTTGGCTGGTTCAGCTGGAGCAGAGGAGACTGAGGGGAGACTCCTCGGGGGCTGCAGCTCCTGCCCAGGGGAGGCGGAGGGGCAGGGACTGAGCTCTGCTCTGGGACCAGGGACAGGACCCAGGGAAGGGCTGGAGCTGTGCCAGGGGGGTTGGGATGGATCTCAGGGAAAGGTTCTTCCCCCAGAGGGTGCTGGGGCAGTGCCCAGGCTCCCCAGGGCAGTGGGCACGGCCCCAAGGCTGCCAGAGCTCCAGGAGCGTTTGGACAACGCTCTGAGGGACAGAGTGGGATTGTTGGGGTGTCTGTGCAGGGCCAGGAGTTGGACTGGATGATCCTTGTGGGTCCCTTCCAACCCAGGATATTCCAGGACTCTGTGACCCACACATGGGCCCAGAAATCAAAGGCTGCTTTTAGAAATGTTCATGTGTGAATCAGGGCCTGTTACTGTATGTTAGTTTTGCATCAGCTGGGAAGCCATAAGGACGTTTTCATAACCATCATTAGGAATTTGCTTTAGGAAAAATATACTGGGAGTCAGTGTGGCTTGTTAGATACCAGACTGTGAGACAGCTGGGCTGAGGGCAGCACAGAAATTGCTCTTCTGGCTAAGGACTGCAGCTGAGTGAGAAATCTCTAATTTGTTTCATGGCTTTAACTGGAGGAAAGTGGAGGGTGAAGTGTTTGGGGGGAGGACACCTGAAAAGAAGTTTTTTCTGCTATCCCTTGCCAAAGTAGAAGTAATTGGCCTCACAGAGTTGTGCCTGTTCCACAGCAAAGCAAAAGTTTCTGCTGCTTTCTTGGATGCATTTACCCTGTTATTGCAGTTCCAAACAAAATGCCCTTTTTTCAAAGCGAAGCATTGAGAAGATTTTGTTCTGGCTGCTTCAAAAGAGGATTTTTCCCACACCACCATTTTGACCTAAGTGCAAGAGCAGTTCTTGCTGAGCTGCCACCTAAAGTCCATTTTTTTCTGTAAGTAGGGCAAAAAACCCACCCAGCCTCAAAGGGATTAAAGGTTTGGCCAAGACTGAGCAATTGTTCCATCCTAACACAGGGTGGGAGACGCTGTCAGAGATCCTCCCATTCCTTTGGCTTAGGGTCTTCTCTTTTGTATTTTGTTTTCTTATTTGTACCTGGGTGTGGAAGCAGTGCCAGACCAATGGCAGGGCATTCTCAAAGAGTAAGGAGCAAACTAACCATGTCCCCACTGTCCTTCTTCCCTGCCCTGGTGCTCCCTGTAAATCAGAGGAGCTCAGACACCCTTGTCTGAGGCTGGAGAGCACACGCTGCCATCGAGGAGATGCTTTGGGGCTGGTGTCAGTGAACTGGGTTCCCTCTGGGGCAGACTTTCCTTGCCGTGGCTGGTGGAAACCCACCAGTGCTCCTCACTCCTTGCCTTTCTTCCTCTCTCTTTCTTTCTTTGTTGTGACCCCGAGGGTTTCGCTGGGCGTCGGTGACAGCAGGTCTGACAGCAGAAGGGTTGGAGCACACGTCGTTTCTGCTTGAGCTGGCAGAGTGGTAGCGAGAGACGAGCCTTTGGAGAGCATAACAGCCTTCCAGGGAAACAGGCATCGAGGCTGTGGATCACTGCTGTTGTCTGAAGTGCTTCACTCCCCATTGCACACGTGGGCAAGCCCAGGAGCCCAGCGACTGTAACACCAAGGAGAGCTCCGAGTCAAGGATCATCATCTAATTAGTCCATGCAACGCTTAGCAAGGTTATTTTTATCTCGAGCCCTCCAGAACATACATAATCATTCCACCTTAATTCTTTCAAAACTTGGTCTCTATGGAAACCTCCACATAAACGACTGCTCCTTTCGTTTCGGAGCCGTGTTGCGGCGTGTGCGTGGGGCCAAACACACACGTGTGCACACACACACACTGATCTGTGCTCTCCCCTGCTGCTCTTCCTCTCCACCCTTCAGATAACAGCACTTGGGGTTTATTTCTTCCAAGCACTGCGTGTTTAGATCTGCAAACCCCTGAGGAATCCTTGTTTCCAAACCAGAGGGAGGTGGGAGTGGGAGGGAAGGCAGAAATCTCTGTAATGCTCACGTTGATGTTCAAGCTCACTCTTGTGGGATTTGGGCAGAAGCCTGTAGGATGCTGCTCGTGGCTCCCTGAGCCATCTAAGCAGAGTTTAAGGTGTGGAAA